AGAAACCAATTCTGAAGATGAAAGTCACAGTAGATAAAATGAAGGATATTGCAGTGTCAACAGCAGAACTGACCAAACTGAAAGGTTATGAAAATATGCAATGGAAAAATAATGAAAAAAGCTTATGGGTTTGTGTGTGTGTGTAACAAGGTTTCTCTGTGTAGCCCTGGCTGTTATTGAACTCATAGTGTAGACTAGGCTGCCCTCAAACTCAAGAAATCTGCCAGGTAGTGATTAAAATCACTACTAGGCTACTTTATGGGGTTTACGGAACAAACACCTAGCTAGAGAATTCCAGTTTAAAATTACACCAGGGCCTTTCTGCAACTGTTAAAAATCAGGGGCCATGGAGGCTGGAGAACTGGCTCAGCAGTTAAGAGCACAAGCCGCTCTTGTCAAGGACCTGAGTTAAGGTATCTTGTCAAGAATACTGAGTGAACGTGTCCATTTTGGATAGTTCACAATTGCCTATAACTCCAGGTCCAGGAGGCCTATGGTCTCCTTGGACACTTCACTTACTGGTGTGTATACACACACACACAGACAGTACTTGATGACCTGACATCATGGAGGTGGATGGCTCAAAACCCACATGTAGGAGAAAACCAACTCCTGTCAAGTTGTCCTTTGATCTCCACACTAGCACCTTGCTTTCCATCCTAATAAATGTATTTAAATTTTTTTTTCAAAATGACTACAAAGGAAGTTGTAACCAATCAAGTATTAATGAATAAAAAGCATAGATATTGTGGTTGAATTATTTCAACCACTAGGGTTAAATGTCAGCGCTCCAATTTTTACCAAGCAGCAACTAAAAGTACAAAATATAACCCTGACACCAGTAAAATCTTACTGATTCTGGAAACATGTTAAATGGTTTTACCATAACAGAAAATTATGCACAAAGCCTGTGAAACCATGACCATGATGGGAATGTAAGATCATGAAGTCAAAACTAGCTTGATTAATGTAGCAAGACCCTGGAAGGGAGGGAGGGAGGACAGGAGCAAGGCAGGGAGAGAGAGGTTGGAATTATTTTTAGGGCATCTATTTAATCTAGCTTATGTTATATGAATAGGTCAAGTGAGGAAAATTGCCATCTCCAATCAAGATGTGTAATTCAACATATGAAGAGGATCCTTCATTATCAAGTGAGATTTGTCTGTGGAATTTAACGTTTAAGCCAACAATTTTTTAAGTCAACAATTTAAGAAAGTTTAAGTCAACAATTGTGTTGTAACAGCAGAATGAAGGACAAAAATGACCATCTCAATAAATGCAGAAAAAGCAATGAACTAATTTAGTGCTCTCTTTGTACTGAAAGCTCTCATTGGATGGAGAATAGCTCACACAACCAAGGCTATGTACAACAAAGACTGCAATAAATACAGCATGCAGTGTTAAATATTGAAAGCTTGTAAGTTCAGGAATAGTGGTGTCTACTCACCACTTGTTCAACACAGTACTGGGAGTCATGGTCAGAGCAATGAGACAAGAAAAATAACCTCCAGAATGTGCAGAAGTCAAAATTGCTTTAGTTGCAGATGACATCGTTCCCTGAAAAGTACAACAAAGGGAAGACACATGTGCTAGTATATATTTAGTAAATTTGCAACTTTCACGGATCAGTATAGAAGCATTTCTCCAAAACTCCCTCTTAGAACACATCAGAATATTTGACGTGGCCAGGAATAATCAGCCAAGAAAGTGGCTGACACTGGTAAGAGATGAAGATAATCAAAAAAGCAGAGGGTACCCCATGTTCATGGGCTGAATACTGTTAAAAGACCATACTACACAAAGTAGCACATGGGTTAAAAGCAACCCTACCAAGATTCCAGTGACATTTTTCACAGACATACAGAAGATCATCCTAAAACTCATAGAAGACCCTGAATAGCCAAAGCAAAGCTGTAAAAAAAATACCAGAGCTTGAGGCATGATAGTACCTGGTTTTAAAATCTAGAACATGATAATGAACACCTTGGTGTTGACATAAAAACAGCCAACATGGAAAAAGGTTTTATGTTCAGGAAGTGGTACCTGGCAAATCCGTGTAACCAGCTGCTGCTGGAATAAAAACCTGAAACAACTTGGAAAGAGTATTTCAACATACAGCTCTCTAGATTTTAATACAAGGCCTATTGGTCCCACTGCCTTTGACTGGTGATGAGGCAGCATCTTAGTGAAGTGGCTGGTGAAACAAAAGTTCCTCAGCCCCCCCCCCCAAAAAAAAGGGGGTGGGGTGGGGAAAAGAAGGGATACCCCTGTTCTTCCCTTCAAGGGCACGTGCCCAATAACATACAACCATCTCTTCAAAGCTTTTCACCATCTCCCCCTATAGCACCAAGCTGGGATCAAGCCTTTACCTTGTGGGTTTGGGATATTCCAGATCTAAACTACAGTAACATCTACATGATGAAGAATAAAACTGGGCCTTCATCAAATATGTGTGTGTGTAAACTCAAGGGCCTGAAGAGATGGCTTAATTGCTGTGCAATTAAGTGCAGGCTGCTCTTGCAGAGGACCTGCGTTCAATTCCCAGTCTTACATGGCAGCTCATAACTATCTGTAACCCCAGTCCCAGGGGGTCCAACCCCTCCTCTGGCCTCCATGGGCACTGCATGTGCATGGTACACAGACATGCAAACAAAACACCCATGGCACATAAAACTTTGGTTTTAGTAATGGATATTTGGTCAAAGCACAGGCAACAAAACAGTAAGTGGGACTACTTACTAAAAAGTGCCTTCACAGCAAGGGAAACAGAGCAAGGGAGGGACCTGTGGATTGGGAGAAGATAGTCACAAACCACATACCTGGGCAAGGGTTCCCAACATAGCGAACAACTGAGAAAGCCAAGCAACCAACTAAAGAACCTACCACAAAGAACCTGCTTGTAAAATGAGCAGAGGAGTTGGACAGACCCTCCTCTAAGTTACCAAATGCCAACAGGTACATGGATGCCGCTGATAGTAAATCAAGAGTCCCAGTGAATGTGAGATGTCTTCCACTTGCTAAAATGGTCATGATCAAAAAGTATTGAAGGTGTGGGGAAAGAGGGTATTGCCTTACATGCTGCCACCATGGAAAACTAGTTAAATAAAGATGGACTTACTGTAGGATCCAGCAAAGACAAAACCAGCTTTGAAAGGTACTTTCACTTCTTTACTCATTAAGGTCCTAGCCATAATATCCGAGATACGGAAACAGTCAAAGCCTTCAACAACATGGATAACTGTGGTACACAAACATGCGCACACACACACTCACATGGGAATATTAGCATTTAAAAAAAAAGTTGACACAGAAAAATGGGACAGTACTTTTAGATGCAATCACTAAGTGCATAAAAATAATAACAAAACTGGTGGTTACCAGGGCTAAGAGAAATATGTCAATGTAGATCAGAGGACATCCTGCAGTTATATAGCATGAGATAACTTACAACATCAGGGCTGCTGAGAATAAAACTGTGCTGAGAGTTTGACAGGCAACTTTAGGTATTGTCACACAAAGTATATGACACTGAGTATTACTTTTTGCAACTAAAGGGAGGTGTATATATATATATATATATGTGTGTGTGTGTACAAAATATATATGTACATAATAAAGGGGAAAAATAAAAATAAATTTATCCGATTAAACAGATTTACTTGATATAAAATGATGTTTCCTCAAATTATTGACTGAATAAAAAGCCAGCATCACCACTAATTGAGCAGCAGACCTAGCCATTAGTTGAGACTGAGAAGTATGTTTACTCTCATCATAATTATGGTATCCTAGATAAACCAGTTAATGAGATAAAAATTAGATTTCTTTGCCCTAGGCAGGCTGTGTTGCCTGGCTGTAGTGGGTGAAGAGGAGCTCAGCCCTGATTCAATTTCATAGAGAAACCCTGTCTTGAAAATCCAAACAAACAAAACCAACCTACCTGACCTCAAACTGAGGCCCCAGCTATTCTTCAGAGAACTGGTGTTCAATTTCCAGAACTCAGGGTGGTTTGTAACCATGTTACTCCAGTTCTCGGGGTTGGCACCAGCTTGTGATCATGGGCACCAGAGGTACAGACATATATAGTGTACGTGCAGGCAAGCACTGAGACACAAAATAACGTAGAAAACTGACCTCAAGGTTCCGCTCAGAGCGCTTGTTTCTCCTGCAGAGAACCCAGGTTTTGTTCCCTACACCCACATGCAGCACAGTACAACAGGTAACAGAAGTTCTGGGAGATGCAATGCCCTCTTCTGGCCTCTGTGGACACTGCATATTGCACAGGCAGAACACCCATACACATAAAATAAATTCTTAATTGGGCACAGTGGCAAGCCTTTCCAGCACACAGAAGTCTACTAGATGGATCTCTGGGAGTCTGAAGCCAGCCTGGTCTGGGTTCCTGCCCCGAGTTTCAGGACAGCCAGCAACAACAACAAACAAATCTTTAAAAAAAAAAACAAAAATAGGAGCTTGATAAATACTTCCATCCAAGAACTAGACAGGTTTAGACAGAAAAACATGCCAACTCCCACTAAGAAAAAAAAGGGGGGGGGATTCTAACTATGAAAGAAACTTCAGTTTTCCTTTTAGTTACAAAAGGAAAAATTAAAATATAAATGTCCAAGTATAGGAATTAAACTGACCTAGATAACATGGAAAACAGATCCTAGAGTACAAATTGGCTCAAATTTTTGTGTGCCATTTCAATTGGTGGGAAATAGAGTAAAGTTCAGAAGATCAGAACTATCAAACAAAAAGGACAAGTCAAGAAACTAGGTTATAAATTTGTTTGGCAAAATGCCATTAAATATTTGCAATCTTCAACTGCAAAAATATACTTTCTAAATACTAGTGCTCTTTAACAAACAGGCAAAGGCTAAGGGTAGTAATATCCAACCAGCAGTTACACACACCTTAGGAGGCAGAGGCCAGCCTGGTCTACAGAGCAAGTTCCACCACCACCACCAAAAAAAAAAAGCACAAACAACAAGCCAGAGAACAACAACTTTATTTTTAAAACAACTGAACTATAAGCTATTAGCAAAACACCATTTTCCTGCAATTAATTTAACAGTAGAGTTTAGTGGACAGCTCCAGCAACATCATGAGACCCTTTCTCAGAAAAGTTCATTGGCATGGATGTGAGAAACTAGGTATCCTTATATGGAGTTACCAGATGTATGACAGTTCAGTGACACCAAAGTGCTCATACCCTTCTGCCTCCACTTAAAAGTCATGTCCAAATGTATGTTACATAGGTATGTGCGTATTCGTTCATTTTTCAGTAATTGTAGAAGACTGGAAACCATCTCCTCCTTAGAGGCTGTTACACAGTACAGCTATCAGTAAGATACAGTTCCATAAAATGTCAGATTTATAACAGCATTTACAATACAGTTTTGTTTATAAATGTGAGGTGGCAAGCATTTCTGTGCTAGTATATGCCCTTCTGGAGAGAATACATAGGTTAGTTGATTTCAGGGAAGAGGTAGGTTTGTAGTCAGGAGAGACAGCCTGAATTTTTAATTTAAAAAAACCTGAAAGCTGGAAGGAGCAGGACAGACTGCAATTCCAGCACCTGAGAGACTGAAGCAGCAAGATCACCAGTTTGAGGTCTGGACTACATGTGGTTGGAGAGGGGACCGGGGAACGTGGGTTAATTGGCTGAGTACTTGTGCAGCAGGCACCTGGGGCTGGATCTCCAGTATTGCACAGACCAGGCATAATACTAGCAACAAACACTTGCGAAAGGGGTCTCAAGTTCACGGTCACCTTCAGCTAGGTAAGACCATCTCAAACACAAACCTGGAGCTACACAGAATCCTCGTACCGGAAGGGCAAAAGTGCTGCAAGCTCAAGGCCAGTCTGATCTACACTGAGTTTTAGGTTACCCACAGCTATATCGTAAAATCCTGTCTCAGAAAACCAAAGTTGAAATAAAAATTTTACATTTTTGTTTGTGAATAAATACCTACGGGTATATACACGTGGATGCTGCCAGTGAGGTCGTCAATGGACAACTTGGGGCACTTGGTTCTCTTCCAACACGTGTGTCCTTGGGATTGAACTCAGATCCTTTATCTCATTGGCATAAAACTAAGTAAATTCAAAAAGCACATCTAATTTAGAATCAATACTCATAACATTTAACTACTGTTATTATTTTGTGTGTATGTGTTGACGTTAAGTGTGGGCCAGAGGTTGACATTAAGCGTCTTCCTCCATCATTACTCTCCTAAGAAAAAAAAACTGTACGCTCCAGGTCAGCATCACAAACCCCTGGAGGTGCTGGAGTTATGGGCAGTGCTGAGCTGCCTGGTGTGGGTGCTGGGAACCACACTCAGGTCCCCTTAGCCAGTGAACCACCGCTTGAGACACCGCTCCAGCCCTTGTTCTCATTTTTTGAGACAGGCTATTCTGTGAGTTCTTGGGATCTGCTGGTGTGTGCCTCCCCAGAGGCGAGACTGCACGAGCATTCCACCATGGCCATCATACACAACAAGCACTTTACTCAGGTGAGCTCAGCCACTGCCTTAGCCCCCTAGTGAAACACTGAGAAGTATTTCAGCCATGATTAACTGAGCAAAGGCTTATCAGAACTAAGTCAGATGCTCCTGAAACAGTGAGTGAGAGAATTGTGGAAAATGTTTTCAATCACAATATTTAGTAACATGGGCAGAATTTGCGTTAAGTTATAAATCCCAAGGATTTCTTGCTTAAAAGAAAATGAGAGAAGAAGAAAAAAAAAGGAAGAAAGAAAATGAGAGGAAATCACTTCCAAATTCCTCAGAGCTTTGTTCTGGGAAAAGTTTCAACCACAAACATAAAACAACAGGCCAAAGATCCATTTGTTCACATTCATAGATAGCTTTATTCAGCTTTTAGAAAAATACATAAAACAATCAGAACCATGGTTCTTAAATATTTTTAAATTAAAAGTGTGCAAGTGAGAGGAAGTGCTTCCACAGTCAGAACATCAATACTGTGTATGGAAGTAGACAGCAATTTCTGCAAGTCTAGGAATGGTAAGAGGAGCAGCAGCTTGTGGCTGCCAAGTGGCCAGCGCAGAGCCCATCCGACAGATTTCTCCTTTAATTTCCATCTGCAAACAGAATTAATATTACATGCCTAGTAAAACAGCTGAATGCTGGGCATATACCAACAGGTTTTGATCAAACCAAAACTTGCCATTTCAATTGGCATTCACTTGAATTTGGATATATTAGGATCTGTCAGTCATCATTCAACTGGTAGCAGATGCCCACAAACCCTAGAGGGCTTAAGGAGCTTAATGCCATCTATTTCAGATTAGATTCTTGCTTTCTCAACATTCTTCTGAATGACAATGTTTGCGAAAAGCATTTTAGTTAGGCAGCCCTTGGAGTTCCAAGTAGTTTGAGGAGCTGAATATGAAAGCAATAGGGTACTTCGGCCTACTCCAAGCAGATGGACCTCCCTCCACTGGTTCTGGGGCTTTTTCCTGGAAATCGGCTTTTTCAATACCCCAACCAGAGACCAGTCTAACAGCAGATTTCCCAGGGATTCCAGAATCAACACTATCAGCAACCTCTTTTCTTGCTTTTGCCAACCAAGCAAAGCAATGAGGCAAATATCATTAGCAACATCAAGATTTGGAGACTGTGCTTATGTGCCCGAATGGGAGAGGGTGAGAGAAAACAAGCAGATTACAACTGGAGATCTCATTAAGAGTAAGAGGAGAGAGATGGGTATTTTGTTCTCTGTTCATCTATTTCCTGCTTTGTTTTCTTGATGCAACTAAATATCTCCTTAAACAGTGCTTTGTATTCTGGAGGTGTAGTAGTGGGAGAACTGATGGGCTCTGGGGTGACGGGGGTGGGTTCCCAGCCACTTGCTCCAGCCTCAGACTGGGTGACCAGTCCTGTCAGGTCCCTGGTCAGTAGCCTAGAGGTCTGCACAGCCTTGTGTGACAGCGAGTCCTGCTCCTGCTGGCACTTCTTCAGCAGCTCTTCGTACTTCACTTTCAGGGCACTGTACTGAGTGTCCACTTCATGCAGGAGGGAGATGCCCCTCTGCTTCACAGCCTTAGCTCTCCTGATGCAAGTCTCCTCGTGGCCTTTCACGATGTCACCCCCTGCCAAGCTGCTAAGCACCGTCTCACTGCTGCTGCGCTTGAGTGGTTTTCTATGTGCTTCTGGAGCAGCCAGGAACATCTCCTCCAGCAGACTCTGGCTGGGCTCCTTGAAAGGAACAAGCAGAGAGTCGGGTACCAGCTTCTCAACACCATTCACAAAAGGATGCTCTGCCTGCAGCATCTGCCTCATCTCGGCTACCTCTGCCTCCAACTCCAGCGCCCGGGCTCGGTAGGCATCTATGGCCCCCAGCTGCTGCTCCAGTTCACTGTTCTCCTTCAGGACCACTTTATACTCTGTCTCCACGCTCACTCGCTTCTTCCTCTCCAGACTCAGCTGGGCCTGCAACATTGTCACTGACTTTTTCAGGTGCTCATTTTCTTCTTCTTCAGGGCTTTGTTGGCTATGCAAGGAAGTTATCTTCTCAGCAAACACGTGGTCATATACAAAGTGTCTATGGGGAAACACGGAAATATACAAACATCAACTGACACTGCAAAGACACTGCTCAGGTTTTTCAACTAAATTGTCTGTTTTTGTTTTTCAAAACAGGGTTTCTCTGTGTAGTCCTGACTGTCCTGGAACTCACTTTGTAGACCAGGCTAGCCTAGAACTCAGAGATCTGACTGCCTCTGCCTTCCAAGTGCTGGGATTAAAGGTGTGCACCATCATGCCTGGCTCAACCAAACATTTTAAAGGAGCTGTGACACCAATTTCTACACCATTCTATGCTACAAACAGTAGCTAAAATGAAATTATATGAGGCTGGCAAATTCTTGAAAGCAAATACAGTTTTTGTGACTATTTTTCCCCAATAGTAAAATAATACTGAACACCCACTCCAAGACCAGCACAATGACAGCTGCTTACAAGGAAATGTAATAGACCAGAGATTCTCATCTCTACCTGTAGATCACAATCAGCTGCGTGTTCTTAAACACCTGGCACTCACACCCTTGATTCTGACCTTGTTGGTCTACCACCTGGACCTATGTGTTTTAAATGTTCTTCATAATGTGAAACCAAGGTTAAGGAACATAACGTTTGGACTTTTAACCTGGGATACACATCAGAATCACTGGGACAGTTTTAGGTTCAAACCTAGAAATTCAGACCTGAGGAGCAAGTATCTGCTTTTGGAAAACATGTACAGTGCCAGGTGTACACATGTAATCTCAGCACTTTTGAGGTGGAGGCAGGGGGATCAGGAGCTTGGGACCAACTGGGCTGTATGAGACCATATCTCAAAAACCCAAAATTTTCATAGGTAATGTGACAAAAACCAGTAACTGGCCTCTCTCCTATTCAGTCCGAGGCAGCCTGTGTGTGTATATCTTGGTTATGGAGCACCTGACTCCTTTAGAATGAAAGCTCATGAGGACACAGATCATGTCCATTTTGGCCTCCATTCCTGATGTGTGGCATATCAACTACACTGTAATAGGTGTTTAGCAAGCATTATTAAAGACACAAACTCAAAAAACCTAAATTATAAAATCATTTCTTTACGTGGAAGTACTTTCTTTTTGCCTCAATTTTTGCTCTGCCAATTTTTTTCTGTTTTTCAAAATTTTATTTTGAGATAAGGTCTTGCTGTAGTCTTGGCTGTTCTAGAACTTGCTATGTTCTGGCCTCGAACTCAGAGAGCAAACCTCTGCTTCCTGAGTGCTGGGATTAGAGGCATGAGCTACCATGCCCAGATTCCAAAGTTTCCATTTTTTTCTTTCACTCTAAAATGAAATACAAGTACCCAAATCTGTACTACAGCAGAAGAATTACTAATTTTTAAAGGAATATTTAACAAATTTTAAAAAAACTTAAAAACTGTTTTCATAGTTACTGATGCCCATGAACGCTCAGTGTTAAGAGTTGAGTGGCTTTGTTCAGAGCACTGGTGATTTAACGAGCAAGGGGCATTTCTTGAAATGAAGCTTTCCATATGCAGTAATCCAGAATCTCTCAGTGACACTGGATGTTTGCAAACCCACAGCAAGGCAGACTCTTACTGGCGGAGGTCATACAGCTCTTTCAGACAAGAGAAGCTGGGTGCTGGTTTCTCCTGGTCACATGCCTTCTGCCTCCCTCTTCCCTGGTTGGACTTTAGCTCCTCCACTTGGCTCTGGAGGTGATCAATGTTGGTTTGCAGGCATTCAATTGTTTCCGTCAGGCTGTGAAGAAAACACAAGCTGGTTGATGCTTGTCAAATTAAATTAAGATCAAAACCAATGAAGGGGATTAGATGTGAGCCACTCAAACTTGGCTTTCTTAATTGGAAAGGACTTATAGTTAATCCTATTCTCCTAAAAAAGTAAACTCTTAACTTTCCACTGCCCAAACCTTCTCCAGGCACATTCTACTTCAAATTATACTAATTCCTTTGCAGATTGCCCTTGGTAACAGTTAGAAATTTCACCTCAGGATTTTCTGCTGTGAAGCCTTGCTCTCGGCAACTAGCTTCTGGTTGGTTTCTTCTAGTTCTCTTGCTGTGACATCTAACTGCTCGTAAACTTTTGCATGTTGCTCATTCATTTGCCGTAGAAGTTCCACCTGTTTGGTCAGATACTGTAAAAGAGGGATATCAGGTGACACAACAGATAAGATAACCTGCACGCTTCAGCACCCATTCTCTGGTTCTCCAACGCCAGCTAATGCCACGTGAGGGCTTAGGGCTTCCACCTGTGGGCTCAGCACCCTGGCATGGCGATTTGTCTGCCAGCCCATAAGGTACTAGTTACTGAACTTGACTGATGATCTGCTTGCCCCTCTCCAGGCTAGCCACTGCAACCATCTAATAATGTGGTCATTCCTCATCCTATTACTAAGGACAAGGATGGTTTTAGAAGAGGTTTTAGCCAGAAATCAGGGACAAAGACCAAATGGGAACTTTGTACAATACCTCAGTGTCATTGGCTTACTTAATGGAAAAGAGAATGTTAAATCTCAACAAAACTACTTGTTTTAATAATAAAAAGGGCACAAACTATCCTTAATGTGCCTTAACTCTATTAATGCTTTCTAAAACTTTCTATGTTCCATGAGGCTAGTCTAATTTTACAAAATATATACTTAATATTCAAAAGAAAAATCCAAAGTGAAATATGATAATCCCTCAAAAAGAAAAGCTTGGGAAAACACGATAGAAGTTTAAACCAAGTATGTTTAACAGAGGCTGGAGCAATGCATGGCTCAGTGGCTAAGAGCACTTGTTCTTGCGGAGCACACGGGGTCAGCTGCCAGCATCCACTCCGCAGCTTTCCCCCCTCTTAGCTCCAGGGGACAGGGTCTTTCTGACCTCTGCAGGCAGCAGGCCTACACACAGTGCATACACATGTTCACACAAAACATTCACACAGATAAAACTAATACATCTTTAAAAAAGCAGAGAAGGTTAACAAACATGTTAACGTGGGACATAGGAAAAAAGAAAGAAAACCTTAAAAAGTGGAAGATTTTGATGGTTTTCACTTGAAAAAAAAATAACCTTTTTTTTCCTCAATGAGTATTTCAGACAAAAACGAGTGAAAATTATATTAATTTTACTACATATTTTACTATATAACAAAGCACTGTGTTGGTATAATGTTCTTTTGGAATGTATACACTTTACCCTTGTTCATTCAAATGCTGATTTCTCTCCCCGCCTCTCTGTTTTCAATCCAGACATTGCATTGTGAAACTTATTCTAAGCATCACTTGTCTCAACTTTGTGTAAACATGCCAAAATAAAGCAACCAGCCACAATGTTGAGCAAGGGAAAGGAAGCAGGAAAAGAGGGAGAAGCCAGAGGACAGCAAGGTGAGAGGCAGAGGAGGGAAAAGGGAGAGAGGTTAGGAGAACAAGGCTGGAGGAGAGGTCTTAGAACGATGTGGAGAGATGGACTGGACCTAAGATTTCACTAAGAGCAAGTATAATATGGGAAATCTAAATGTTAGGAAACTGTGAGGGCTTGGAGGTTTAGGATGGAACTACTATTGCCCAGCATTGTGTTCTAGGTTAATTAAATAAATCATAGTCTCTGTGTGGTGATTTGGTTATACAGCTGTTTAGGACTAACAAAGGCGATAATAGAAGATATTTCAATAGTAAATGTTAATCGATACATACAACAGCACTGTCATTTCTATTCTACAAGAATGCTATCTCCACTATCCTCCTTATTCACGAGACACTTAGGTTATTTTGATCCTGCTAAGACTGCTTTCTGAAGGCTGAGGATAAGGGGACTAAGCACACTCTTAATACCATAGTTAGGTCACCTAGACTCCCTCCCTACCCATTTCCACTTGAACACACCAAAGTATAGTGTACATTCCAAACAGAACATTCCTACTCCTCCAGACACAACCAGAGTCAAAAAAAAAAAAAAAAAAAGAGAACAAAACCAGGTTTGACTTATCATCATATGGTAGCAGACTTGACTTCACAAACACTTCTTGAACACAACTCATCAGGGCCAAGTGACCTTTGTTTTGAGACAAGTCTGTTATAAATCCCAGCCATGCTGGCTGTGACCTTTGGCCTTCCTAAGGCAGTCTCCTAGTTCTGGTATTACAGGTGTGTAACACTTTCCATGGCGTTCAACAGTCTTTTCCAAAACACAGAGTAAATGAGACTCAGTAATATGATATGACCCCTCCTCAGATAACATCACTGGCAACACACAGAACTAACAACCTCTCTTTAACTTCGACTTTCTTATATGAATCTTTCAGGGCCAAAAGTGTTCTGAAAAAGTCTTTGCATTAACACCACCACCACTATTCCAAAACAAACCTTAGTATTTATAACTAAGGTCTGGGCAGGACTCCGTACGTAAGCACTGATACTTCTGTATCCAAAAGTATGAAGATAGGCTGGATGTGCTGGCGCATGCCTTTAATCCAGCGCTTGGGAGGCAGAGGCAGGCAGAGCTCTGTGAGTTTGAGGTCAGCCTGGTCTACATAAACTCCATTTATTCTTTACTGCCCCTGAACCTCCACAAGTTTCTCTTGGTCCCTTGGAACTAACCACTCAACCTCTGACAGGAAGCCTCTTCAGACCTGTAGGAGAAAGCTCTTGGCTCTGCCCTTGGCTAGCAGTGACACAGTGGTTTCTTGCCATCCACAGGAATGTGTTTGATTTCTTAGAAATACTGAACTTAATGGGCTTAAGGTCAAAAGAATATATAGGACAGGGGTGGAAGATGGCTTGGCAGCAAAGGCAGTTGCTGCCAAGCTCGACGACCAGAGTTCAATCTCTAGAGCTCACATGGTGGGAGGGAAAGCACTGGCTCCTGTAAGCTGTCCCCTAACCGCCACATGCATGCTGTTGCACATTCACACACAAGCACATGCAGCACACACACACACACACACTCTCTCTCTCTCTCAAAATAAATGCATATACAGTACAGACATTTTATAAGACAGTTTATATAATTTATATCAACTCCTACGTATTCTTTGGGACTGATTCACAATAACCTTAAAAAAGGCAAATGTATAATTAGATGCCTTATTTACAAAGAAATTATTCCTACACCCACTCCATGGGACTTATCTGTCCCACAGAGGGGTCATAAAAAGCCAGTTTATGGGGGGCTGGAGAGATGGCTCATTGGTTAAGAGCACTGCTCTTCCAGAAGTTCTGAGTTCAATTCCCAGTAACCACATGGAGGCTCACAACCATCTATACTGGCATCTGATGCCCTCTTCTGGCATGGAGGTCTACATGCAGATAGAGCACTCAAATAAATAAATCTTAAAAAAAATTTTTTTTTAAAAAGTCTTTTAATGAGGACAAGAGCTGTGCAGGGAGCAGTGGTATTCTAGCTCAAAGCACAGGCTTGAAGGCCCTTTGCCATTGCTAATTGTTCTGTGATTTCCATCATTAGGACCTCATGAGGCTATAAAGATTAATATGTATGTATGTATGCTGGCATGCATGCATGCATGCTCAGGACATGTGACTTCAGAATACGTGTTTTAGGCATAAGTGCTGCTGAAGGCAGCTGAGAAGCAGATGCAGGAGAGCTCTGTGCCTCCATGTGCATCCTTCCCCGTCTACCAGGCAGAACGAAGGCTAATCAGTGAGCAAACTTCACACTCTTCTGGGCCAGGAGCCAGCACTAGAGGAATCCACACCACAAGGCTTTACTAGTTTTACCTACTTGTCTTCCAGTAAATTGCCACCCTTAAAGAGTCAAAAGTCCTTCCTTTCCTCCATGTAATCCCTGCTCCAAGAATATACTGTTCTTCATTACGGTGTATAAGATGAAATCCAAAGCCACTTCTTAAGAAGTCACTCACTTGAATATCTCCAATGTATGCATGTAAAAACACACATTTTACTCCTGTTAAACTGGTCATTATTTTTCTGTCTACATATACATTTATTACATGACGGTTAATACACAGAACCCAGTCTGGTGTCTGACAAATGAGGAAAGTGTTTGGTAAGAGGTGGCTGCTGTCATCTTTATTGAGAATAAGTTTTTATGCTTTATATGTGCAATGATAAGATTCACCTGAAAGACAACTGCAGAGCCCTAGAGCCTTTCTCTTCAAATGTTGACTCAGGGAGATTGCGACAGATACAAGAGTCTGCAATTTTAGCAGAACCTCTGTGACTACTATTATATGGAAAGCATAAATGAGAGAAATTTAGATCTTGGACATGGAAAATCTTGGATGCCCTCTCTCTTGATCCCCTGGTGTGGGAAGCTGAGGAAGCTGAGTGACTGCAAGGAGCAGATGAAGTCCTGAGAGAATGAATGTGGCTGACGTGGACACAGCCATATCAAGGATCCTATGCCTTAGACCCATGGGAAAGCCAAAGATTCCCTCCGGTCTTAAATACAAGTATTTATGAATTGATCGATAAATGTAGCACTGTCAAACACCACAGCTTCCTCCTGGATGACTACAGCTTGAAACTACTCCCTTGCAGAAACTGCCTACCAAGATTAGATAAACCTGCTCCTCTGTCAGCTGTATACCACGGACTGCAGTGATGACACATGCTCTTAATATTGGGAGGCAGAGGCAGACAGCTCTTAGTTCAAGGACAATTGGTCTACAGAGTAAATTCCAGGACAGTCAGTGCTACACAAACCCTGTCACAAACAAAACAAAACAAAACAAAACAAAACAAAACAAAAATCAAATAAACTTTATCAACTGTTTAGTAAAAAAAAAAAAAAAACCTGCCTCATCCAGGTGTATAAAATAAACACTTAAGTTCCAGGTTGCTCCTGCATTTGGGGCCCTCCATCAGTGCAAGCACGTCCCACCTAAGCCCAGCTTTTCCGTACATGTATCTGTCCTTTCTTCATTTCCCCCATCACCTCAGTCAGGGTTTACAGCATCAAGCCAGGCAGGATGCCGCTCAGTGGCTTTCTCTCTGGAGTTTAGCATTCACCAAGATAAACTCTGACATGGGTATGTGCATGCATGTTTCGAAGGGATCTGAATCCAGAACACCCTGCATTCTAGGCAAGTGCTACCTGTAAGCTATACTCTAGTCTCAAACCAAGTTTATTGGCTACTATTTCCCCTTTACATCACTTGGTTGCTGTCATTCAC